AGGGAGTGTCTTCTGTCTCATGTGCCACCTCCTGTGGTCCCCAGAAGAAGCTGGTTTCATCCTGTTCTCACTACCGTGGCCCCCAGGCTCATCTCATTGTTACCTACCTGAGTAGACCAAAGGAAGAGTCAGTGGGAGCCAGCTCAATGACCCTCTCTGTTTTTTCTTTTCCTGTTATACAAGGTTTACACACAGAGTCCCAGGAATGGGCTACAGACTCTGGAATAAACCCCGATTCAGTCTCACTGAATAAATGAAACTGAGCCAGGCACTTCCCTTTAATAGACCTTAATGTCCTCTTCTATTAAATGGAATTAACAATAATGACTCAACTCATAGAAAGAGAAGATAAATCATCTCTTTCATGATTCTCCTATCCTTATGAGGCTGGGTTTCTTAAGAACAGAGACCATATCTTATTCAGATCCACATTTAATAAATGAGTGAGAGGTATCGTCATTCCCAGTTTATACCTAAACCAACAGACTAAATTTCTCCTTCCCCAGGCCTCGCGACACTCAACCACTGTCTCCGTATGTAGTCATCAGGTACCTAAACAAAGAAAGCGGATGGATTCTTTTTATGTACTGCCCTTTCCCTGCTTCCTCATAGTAATGGTTTCTGAGTAGAATGAACTGTGTGAGTTCATGGGAAGACCAAGTCCATTCTGGGCTCCAGGTTAATTGTGAAAAATCAGGCACTGATTCCCTCCCTTCATTTTGCTTAGAGTGGCTTTCTCCACACACACCCATGGTGGAAGAGGAATTGTAGTTGTTGTCCTATCTCCTCAGGCATGACTCCTGTGTCTTCAGAAACTTCAGTTTATCACAGTGAGGCTGGCAGAAAGTATCACCTGTGCCACTGCTGACAGTCAAGTGTATGGAACAAAACCAAGGTTTCAGTGAAGGAAAGGGGATTGGAAGCAATGCCTCGGTCTGTCTCAGAAGGAAGCAACGAGGTGTTTATTGCCACGAAGTGTGATTAAGAACAAAGCCTTAGAAGATTCTCTCTCTCCCTGTTTTTCTCTCTCTCTCTCTCCAGTAAAAACCCCTTTCCTCATTGATAACCCAAGTCCCACCATTGGTGATTCATTTCACTGGACTGAGAATTGCCCCTACTACGACACTGTCCCTCACATGGGTGTTAAGCCTCATTGGCATTGGAGCATCCATATTCCACCTGACTCTCTTTGCCTCTTTTCCCATTCCTGTCTGATATGCAGCCTGCTCTCCCTTCCTGTTAAAGTCCCCACCATCCACTTTATCACCCAGGGCTCTCCCCTCCCACTGCCGCTAAACTGCCTGAGAAGGGGGTGTGTTCCCCCCAGCCTCCAACTTCACTACAAAACCTCTTCTATTAAGGCTGTTTGTTGCCAGTCTCTAAGATGGGGACTAACAAAATTAATAAACAGAGGAAATGACAAAGAAATCCAGAAGTCTTCCAAAGGTATCATCCTGGTTTATAACTCCTGAGTCTCCTTCTGAGTCTTCATTTCTCCTGGACTCCTCATTTATCCCCTAGGATGACAGACCAGTCAAACCTTCACCTTCCTCCGTCTCTTCTCTCCCTGTGCTCATTTTAAAGATACTGTTGGACTTGAGCAATAGAAGCTTTACTCATTCTTTCAGCTAGTATTTATTGAGTACCAACATATCCCAGGCACTATCCCAGGTGCTGGGAATACAGTGCTGAGCATGGTGTTTACAGTCAAAGGAATCAAGACAAGCAATAAACAAACAAGCTAACAAGTAAACCTGAAAAACAGTGGCATGAAAGTGATGAGTGAAGGCTGTGATGAAGGGTGACAGGAAGGGGCTTCTGGGGCAGTGACATTTGAGTTAAAACCTAAAGGATAAGAAGGAGTCGGTCTTACAGAATGAGGAAGAACTAGGCAGAGATAGCAATGAGGGGAGAGGAAACAGCAAGTGCAAAGTCCCTGTGTTTGGAAAGAGTTGGGTGTATTTGAGGAATAGAAAGAAGGCCAATGTGGCAACGAAGTATATAGGAGGAGAATGACACAGATGACATTGAGGAGGTGGTAAGCAGGGGCCAGAAAATGCAGCGTCTGGGGGTTTATAGTAACAAGTTTGTTTTGATAATAAATGTCAGAAGTTTTAAGCAATGGAGGGACATGGTCTGATGTGTTTTTTTTTTAATGTTTTATTTATTTTTGAGAGAGAGAGAGA